TATGGCCTCAGACACTAGTTGTCCTAGGCAAGTCACTTAACTCTGTTTGCCTGTTTCTTCATCTGTAAAATGAGCTGGAGTAGGAAATGGCAAACCACTCCAGCATCTTTGCCAAGAAAACATCAAATGGGGTGGGAAGAGTTGGATGTAACTGAAACGACTAGACAACAACAGATGTGGCAGTGGGGATTCTTTTCACCATATGTGGGCTAGAGTCCAAGAGTGGGGAACCTGTGGCCTCGAGGCCACATGTGACCCTCCAGGTCCTCAAGTGTGGCCCTTGGACTGAATCCGACTTCAAGTTTGGATTTGGATTTTTGGATCAAATCAATTTGGATGCAGTCCAAGGGCCACACTTAAGGACCTAGAGGGCCACTTGTGGCCTTGAAGCCGCAGGTTCCCCACCCCTGGCCCAGACTGTACAGCCTCTTAAGTCTCTTATAACTCTGAAAATCAGTTATTCTTTTCCATGCAATGCTAATGCAATCAACTCTGCTCTTCCCTAGGCGGTTAAGTGATGTACTGCATAGAGCATTGGGCCAGGACTTAGAAAAACTTGAGTTCAAATCTAGCATCAGACATTCCTTTGTTGTAAGACCTTGAGAAAGTCACTTAATCTCTGTATGCCTCAGTTTCCTCAACTGTAAAATTAGGATAATGATAACACTTGCCACACAGGGTTCTTGTAAGGATCAAATGATATAATATTTGTCAAGTGTTTAGCACAGTGCCTGGTGCAGAGTAGTTGTTTAATAAATGGTTATTCCCTCCTCTGCCCTTGCCCCTTCCCCTTCTCCTACTGAATAAAGTGTATCTTGTTTGTGGAACTTTGAGAATTCTCTCTCCTTCTCCCATATCCATTTAGTCAGCAAGTCTTATTCATTCATTTCAGCAGCATCACTCATCTGTCCCTTCCATCTACCTATATGGTCTCTTCCCTATTTCAGGTCCTTACCATTCTTTGCCATTACCCACCTTACCCTACCCCACCCCCACCCCTCACTGGTCTGCCTGATTTAAGCTCTCTCCTGTTCAGTTTTTCCTTTTCAAAGGAATTTACCAAAATCTTCTCCCTAAGGCACAAATTTGGCCAGGTAACTTCACCTGCTAAAGAAAAAAAAAAAACAAACAACAAATGACAAACAAATAAACAAAACAAACAAAAAATCACTTCATTGGAACCAGAACAATGTACAGAGTGCCAGCAATATTGTCAAGATAATCAACTGCGAAAGACTTAGTAACTCTGATCAATACCACAACTCCAAAGGACTCATGATGAAAAATGCTCTCCACGTCCAAATAGAGAACTGATGAACTCAGAGGACAAACTGAAACTTTTTTTCCTGTCTTCATTTTTCTTGCTCCCCCCTGCCCCTCCCCAGAAGATGACTAATATGAATCTACCTTTTCATGGCTTCATATATGTAATAGGTATCATAATCCTTACTTTCTCAGTGGGTGAAGGAGGGGTGTAGAAAGGGAGAGAATTTGGAACTGAAAATAAAAATAAAATTTTAAAAATAAATCTTCCTCAGCTTCTAGTTGCTTCTCACATAATAATTGGGAGATGGATGACCTATGGCCCATCATCATTTCATACTTCTGCCTCTTATTGGACAACAAATTCCTCCTGGATTTCCAAAAGCCACTTTCCTACCTCTGTGAAGTTGCAATACACTGAACTTTCACCCCTGCCAGGAATGCCTCCTGATTTTCAAGGCATAGCTCCCAGGTACCACTTTCATCAGCTCAGATGTTAATATCTCTTATCTCTTCCCCCCACCCCAGATAATACAGAAAGGTAGCATGGAGTTGTGATAGAGAGGTAGCTTAAAATCTGGAAGGTCTATGTCTATTCTAGGGCTAATCCCCAATGACTGAGATATACTTCCATATTATCTTTACCACTTAGAAACGCTAGTTTCCTTCATATGATCATAAGACGGATCTCCCTCCTCTCATTTTAAAGATGAGGAAACTGAAGCACAAAGAAATGTATCATAAGTGATAAATCCAGAGTCACACAACTAGGAAGGGAGTGAGGCAAAATTCGAACACAGGTCTCCTTGATTTCAAGCTTAACTCAATAGTTACTGTGCCACCTAGCTTCTGAAACCAAAAGCCTATAAAACCCTGCATTCTGTGGTAATCTCCCATCCAAATAATAAGCTGACCCGAGTCTACTTAGCTTCTCAGATCAAGTGAGATCTGTTGTCTTTAGATTGGTAGGAATATTGGCAAGTAGTGACTTAAGGTTCAGCTTACCTGCATATCCTAGACAAGGCCTGCTGATTCCCCTGAGTACTTAGTGCTATCCCCCCCAAATTGCTTCATATATGTAACAGTGGCGTGGCTGTATCTATGATGAACTAGTGAGTAGACAGGCAGACGTCAGTGACTTTTCTTCTCTACTCTTGTACCTTTCTGTGGGCGAAGACTCTATTCCTGTTGGATGGGGCTGTCTCTCTAGCTATTTTCTTGGCTTCTCACCTTCCAAAAAAGTGACTTTCTTTCAGATCAGGCTGTTCAATAATCACCAATACCAGTCTTACCACCAGCTCATACTAGCACATGGCCAGCCCTTACTGCTGACTCATTCGCCCAGAGTAACCCTGCTAAATGTATAGTCCCTGATCAGAAGTCATAAAAACAAATTGTAACTGTTCATTTCTAAATCCTAGACATGAATTGTGTTGTGGCGAGATATTGCTTTTTTTTTTTCAAAGATCCCCCAATTCTCCCCATGCTGTGTTTGGATAGTAGTACACACAGTTTAACAACGCAGTTGGTTAACAGCTTTATCACATATTCTGACTTTAGAGCAAAAGATAACTTTAATCACAGAATAACATATACACTTTTCAGAAAGACATCATCCAAGGGGGATGTCAGATTGAGAAATGGGAATTAACCACATTGGGAGAGAGAGGGAAAGGGTAGAAGAGAAGAATGAGGAATCACTAAGATTTTATCTGCAACTTAAATGTATTTTAGTGTCTACCACAATGTGGCTTGAGGATACTGGAATCCTGCATGGCACTCCTCCATGTTGATAAAGCCTTTGCCCTTTCCATCTCTCTTGGAGCTTTCAAAGTTTCTTGGATTCCTCTCCCCACAAGACCAAAGAGTGGGGTGGAATAAAAAGTCAGGCCCTTTGCCAGTCAAAGGTCAGAACCAAACTCCCCTGCATGAGGTTGAGTAGGAGGAAAACAGTGGGAGATTTCTGTCCACTTTCCATCTGCAGCTCTGCATGTTTTCAGCTTCCAGGTAAGCTTAAATTTCATCACCATGCTGCCAACTCAGCCTTGGATACTCAACACTTTCCCAACTCCCTCAACTTCTTTCCTCCTCTGATTAGAAGGCTAAGAGGTGAGGCACTAAACTCCTTTTAAAGCTTTGCCTTTCACATGGCAGGATTCATATTTTCCAGCTCATTCTCCACTCTCCATCTATAGCTTTATATCCATTTAAACACTACAGAACAAGATGTCCTCGGATCTGCCCCCCCAACACAACCCAACACAACACAACACACACATACACACACACACACATACACACACACACACACTTTCTAGCTTCTTTTTGTGTGTTGTCTTCTCCCAATAAATGTAAACTCCTGGAGGACAGGAATTTCTTATTCTTATTTGTATCCCCAGTGCTTAGTACTGTGCCTGGCACATAAAAAGTGCTTAATAAATGCTGATTGAGTTATTGAATTGAATTGAAGATTTTTCTGAAATTAGCAGATCTTTTTCTAGTTATGCTCATCTCCTGGACAATGCCTTCAGTGAATACAGGCAAAACAGTGTTACATATATGATTTTTATTGTTTTATCTGTGTATAGGTTTGTTTGTTTTGTTTTGTTTTGTTTTTTCCCTCAGTAGAATTAAAGTTCATTGAGTGGAAGGACTTTTTTTCCTTCTTTTGGTCTTTGCAGTCCCATAACTTAAGCTCAGTTATCACCACCTAAGTCCACTGGACTCCAAAGGAGAGAGTGAGGCCAATGACTTCTCACAGTCCTGCCTCACTTAAATCCAATTCACTTGCAAGTCAAGATATCACCCTCCTGATGTCACAAAATCACCATTTAAGTCATATGTTTAACACAGGACCTGGAGAGTTGAGCCTAGAGCCAGGAAGACCTGAGTTCAAATTTGGCCTCAGACACTAGGTGTTGGGCCCTGGGTGAGTCACTTAACCTGTTTACCTCAGTTGCTCATCTGTAAAATGAGCTGAAAAAGGAAATGACAAACAAATCCAGTATTTTTGCCAAAAAAACTCCAAGTTAAGGTCACAAAGAGTCAGACATAACTGAAAAAATTAACAAAAAAAAATAACAATAACAACTGGACCAGTGATTTCCTTAGTATCAGGAATTTCCAGGTGAGGAAACTCCCTTTACTAATTCAGATTAGCATTTTCTTTGTAACTTGGTTTTAGAATTTCCTAGAGTCATACAGTTAGGAAGGGTCAAAGGTAAGGCTTGAAGTGGGGTCTTCCCCTCTCCCCACAGTAGGCATTTAACAAATACTTGTTATTAAATGATGCATCCTGGTAAATAAGGCTGTGCTGTGCTAAGGACAGAGAATATAAATGGAAAATAAGATAGTCTCTATTATCAAGAGTCTAGGTTCAAACACTGCCTCTGGCAGTTACTGGTTCCTTGACCTTTTGTAAATCTCTTACCCTTCCTGAGTCCCAATTTAGTCATTTGTAAAATAAAGAGGCTGTGCTTGATATCCCCTAAAGTCCCCTCCAGTTCTAAATATATAATCCACTAATCCCATGCTTGGGAAATTGTGTTTGGTTTTGTTGTTTATTGTTTTTTTATTATTGTTATTGTTGTTTTTGTTTTTTGAGGACAATAAAAGACTTGACTTGATTTTTATTTGCTCTGTTTGGGCATTTGGTGATGCCCACTATATACTTGAAAAGAAAAGTACTTTTAAGTCCCAGCAGATGTTTTTACAAAGCAGATTATCTCCTGTTTCAGGCTAAAATGACTCAACTGCCTGAGGCAGAAAAAGAAAAGATAGCAGAGCAAGTAGCTGATTTCAAGAAAGTCAAGAGCAAACTGGATGCTGAGATTGAGATATGGGATGATACCAGCAATGACATCATTGTCCTGGCCAAGAAGATGTGCATGATTATGATGGAGATGACAGACTTCACCAGGTAATTATGTGGAAAATTATATTTAATATTTATAAGTGTTACAAGTAGTTGTCATGCAGGTACAACATCAAGGTTTCCGAGCGGCAGATGCCAAAAGACTGAATGATAAAGCAAATGAAAAGGAAGGAATTAGGTGTGTGGTATTTCAGGACTCCAGTGAGAGTAGACAGAACAGTATTTAACTTTGAATACAATTCCATGATAACTGTCAAGGACTTTCTTTTAAAAGCTTCCTATTCAACAGGCCATATTTTCATATTTTCATTCTTTGAAGAAACGTGTACTACTGCAGTAAATCAATTCCTGAGGTTTTCCTGAAGCCATTTCTTTTAGCTTTTTTAATTTTTTTTTTTACTTTTATTAAATGGTTTTATTATTTGGCCACAAAGTTTGGATGGAATAGTAGATAGAATATAGAATATAGAGTTTTCAGCATGGCGTTAGGAAGACCAGAGCTTAAATCCTGTCTCTGACCCTTACTTGGTTTGTGACCTTGGGTGAATCCTAAACCTTTTTGACTCTGTTTCTTGATCTCTGTAGATGTAAAGGAATAGTATAGTACCTGAGATATAGGCATTGCAAAATGAAGAAATTCCATTTCCTAGTTCAGATCTGTACCTTCTCTGAAATTTGTACTTTTAGAGTTGCATGGGGGCACCAAGAATAAATAACTGAATGAATTTCAAAAGCATTTATTACATTCTTACTATGGACTAGGCACAGTACTAAGCATTGGAAATACAAATTCATGCATATAAGTCATTTCCTGTCCCTAAGGTGTTTAAGCCCTCATTAAGGAAAGATAACATAAACAGGGAGCTGATGGCCAGAGAGGAATGTTTTGTGCAGGGGAATAAGAGGGAATATTGATTGGCATCATAGGGCATTTGACATAGACTTTTCTAGAAATGAGCAGGGACTAGGAGAGTATAGAATTACAATTGTAGGAAAGTCATATATTAGCTGTGGTCTAAGCAAGATAAAGAGAATACTCACTAATTGAAAATCAAAGATCCCAGGTTGGGAAGTTAAATTCTGGCTTGGAGGTAGAAACTAGAGTACATTTAGTAAGGCATAGAGATTTCTAGAGAGTTTTTGTGGTGAGTCCAGGTCTTGGCAAGATAAATTAATGAAAAAAAAAATAAGTGCCTACTATGTGCAAAGGACAGATAGGAAAGTAATACAGTCTGTACTCCCAAAGAGCTTACATTCTAATAGGAGGCAAGAACACACATAGAAGGATACAGATCCATGATATATGAAAATGCATCATAATACTTAGGGTACATTGGCAAAGTTGATGGTGAAGTTTCTTCTTTAATATTTTGCCATATACACACATGTGTCTATACATACATTATACATATATGTATGTGAATGTGTATATTCATTTGTAATGTCAAACTATTTGATGGTGACAAGGACTTTGCTAAGGTGAATGTTTATTAATCAGAAGCGCGGTGTCCCAGGGTCAGAGCTTGAGTTCTAAGTTAGAGATAGAGGACAGGGATAAACAACAAGGCATGAAGATACTAAGGGAAATGGTGTGATGGATCTGAGTGCAGGCAAAATAGGATGTAGAATGTTCTCCAATCAGAAGACCAGGGTGCTTAGATTTAATGACTTGCCCAGGATATCACAGTCAGCATGTGTTGTAGAGGAAAATTAGAGAAGTGATCTCAGGTCTTCTGACTCTAAGGATGCCTCTCTATCTACTGGGCAATGCTGGCTCCTCTTGATCTGTAAAATGAGCCTAATGAGACTTATGGTATTATGTACCTCATGGGTTTGTTGTTAAAGCAATGAGATACAATGGATATGAAGCACTTTGTGCAGCTAGAGTGTTACATACATGTCAGTTATTGTCATTACAAAAGAGAGGCAGGAAGAAAACACAAAAATGTCAAAAAAGCAAAAAGAAATCATGGACTACAGAATAAAATAAGTATACACACATGACCCACTATTCTAGTACTCAGACATCTAAAAACTCTAACCATCAGAAACAGATATCAGATCTAGGGGAAAAAAAAGGGAAAAGATGAAGAAAATAGCTATTTAAAAGTACATGTATTGCATTGTCTGAAAGGAAATGTCATTCTCAGAGCCTACTTCATTGATATAAAATTGGATTTGAACTAAGGTCCTAAATTTCATAACATTTGGTTCCTTCCACAATATACCTTCAGATCAGAGAGACAGAGATTTAGAAGAGGTTTAGCAATTTTTGACAGTGAAAAAGATATAGCAGAATCAACAAACCATCTGGGCCCATTTAATTTGAAAGCAAACAAAAAATCATCCATTTGTTCTACCAACATTCCTTAAACAGCTATCAGTCAATCAATCAGTAATCAAGCACACTATCTAGTAAGTGCTTAGCTACTAGGTACTAGAGATACAAACAACAAAATGACAGCCCAATCCTACAAGGAGCTCATATTCCAGGAGGAGAAAATGTGATTATTTCAGTATATACATAATAAGAAAATATAACTAGAAATTTTGCTTTTCAAAGAAGTTCTAGCAGCAGGGGGAACCAGGAAACTTCTCAGTCAGAGGTAAGTTACTGTGTACCAAACACTGTGATAGGAAGTGAAGTTTATATAAAATTTATGAGACATATCTCTTGCCCTCTTGGACTTTACACTGTAAGAGTGAGGAAAGACAAGGAAATAACTATGATGCACAATTACACTTGTGTGAATGAGTGTCAACTGCTATGAGAAAGCTAAAGTGTGTCTCAAAGCTCACTTCATCCTTTAAAAGAGCAGAGGTTAAATAATGGCCAATTTCCTTTCAATGGGGGCAGCTGGGTGGTGCAATGGATAGAGTAGAGTGCCAGGTCTGGAGTCAGGAAGACCTGAGTTATCCCTTTTTCTTCTCCCTTCTGGTTCTTCTTCCTTCTTCCCCTCCCTCCTTCTTCTCCCTCCTCCCCTTCTCCCTCTTTCTTCCTTCTTCTTCCTACTTTGTACAGCTTTGTATTTATACATCAGAGTGTAGGCCCCTCCCTCCAACCCCTGGAGAATGTGATCTTCCAGGTATGAACTCGTATGTTTCTTGAGAGTGTCACCTTCTCTCCTCTGATACTGCCATCACCCTGGTACAAACTCTCATCACCTCACCTATGATTATTGCAATAGCCTTCTGTTGGTCTGCCTTCCTCCAATCTCTTGCCCACTCAGAACCATCTTCCCCACAACTGTAAAAGTGATTTTCCTAAAGTGCAGATCTGAACATGTCACCTCCATTCTCCATTTAATAAACTCCAATGACTTCCTCTTACCTCCAGGATCAAATATGAAACCCTTTGTTCAGCTTTTAAAGCCCTTTTTACCTATCTTTCTAGCATTCATACATATTTCTCCCCTCCACTTATTCTGTGATATAGTGGCACTGGCCACATACTCCATCTCCCAAATCTAGACATTTTTCACCAGCTGTCCATCATGCTTGGAACACTCTCCAGCCTCATCTTCACCTCTGGCCTCCTGGTTTCTCTGGTTTCCTTCAAATCCCTGCCTTCTGCAAGAAGCTTTTCCTCATCACTCTTCATCTTATTGCCCTCTTTAGGCAATAGACCCAATTTATTCTGTCCATAGCTTGTTTTTACAGAGTTGTTTGTATATTGCTTCTCCCTTTAAACTGTGAGCCCCTTGAAAGCAAAAGTTGATGGTTTTGATTTGCTTTGTTTTTCATGAATTTATATCCTTAACACTTAGCATAGTCTCTAGCACATAGTAGGTACTTAATAAATGTTGGTTGATTGATTGACTACCTTACAGAATATTTGTTGAGGTAACTATATTATTTGAATTCTGATGAAAAAAGATTTATTACAATGTTATTATTTTTCTTTTTAAACTATTTTTTCCTCATGTGAGTAGCTGTGTAGTGGTATAGACAGAGGCTAAATTGGAAGGCAGGAAGATCTGAGTTCAAATCTTACACCCTTGAATTCCTTGGTGCTCCATGTGACTTTACTGTAATATGGAAGGTTGCAGAGAAGTAAATGTCTGTCATTGCTAGAATTTTGTTATCCTGGTATTCCATATGCCAGTCATAGAACTCATTCTAATTCTCCTACTCTTTCTTATTCTTAATCATCTATGATATATAAAATAATGGCAGCTAAATGATGCCATATTGGATCGTATACTGGGCCTGAAGTCCAGAAGACTCATCTTCATGAGTTCAAATCTGTCATGAAACACTTACTACCTGTGTGACCCCGGACAAGTCATTTAACTCTATTTGCCACAGTTCCTCATCTGTAAAATGAGCTGGAAAAGGAAATGGCAAATCACCCCAGCATCTTTGCCAAGGAAATCCCCAGTGAGATCATGAAGAGTTGTATATGACTGAAATGACTGAACAACAATATAAAATGAAATTATTTGTGTAAAGTGCTTCACAAACTTTTAGAAAATACATAAAGATCTTTCCCATCACCATTATCACTGTCATCATTGAACCATTAAGATAAAATGCAAAATTTCCATTGCAGCATTTAAAACTTTCCACAAAATCATTCTGTTTATTTTCCCAGTAACAAGATTCTCTATCATTTCTTCAATCGTGTTTATGATGTTTGATAATAATTCTTAATCATACATGTATTTATACATATATTATCTCATAGCTATATTCAAAGACACTTGTTCAATTGTGGGGCATGAAAGGGCACAAATGTGTATACAATAGTGATTAATGATGATAATGATGATGGTAACAGTTATTTAATGCTTACTATGTACCAGGCACTGTGCTAAGTGCTTTATAATTATAATCTAATTTGATCTTCAGAACAACCTTGGGAGGAAGGTTCTATTATTATTTCCACTTTACAGATGAGGAAACTGAGGCAAACAAAGATTAAGTGACTTTCCCAGAGTCACTAATCATTTAGCTAGTAAATATCTAAGGTTATATTCGAACTCAAGTCTTCCTGTCTCTAGGCCTGGGCATTCTTTCTACTGTATCACGTAGCTACTCCTCTC